AGTGTCATTCGATAGACCCAAGATTCCAAAAGAAAAATTCACCGAAAACGGTGGGGCACATTTGGCCCACCTTTTTGGTTTGTGCCTTTTTTCCATCATTTTTATTTTGGAGTGCCTAGAGGAGTACAAATGCAAAATTTGGAGTTCATCGCAATCCTATTATTTTCAAAAAAAAAAAAGAACAGAAAAATTGTAACATGCAATGCTGGCCCATCATACACACACATATGTAGGTATGTATGTATGTATGTATGTATGTATGTTTGGAAATTAGTGGAACAATAACTCAAATTGAATGATCTAAATTTGAATGGCCTACATTGTGTATTTGATTTTTTATTTATGAGGAAGTAGGGTCTGATGGACCATAAATATTGCACACTTGTACTCCTCATCTAGATGCTTCTAATTAAAATAAAAAAAGTTGACACGTTTGAAGACGGTTGGGCAGATGTGTCTGCCATTCTTGGTTGTCTAGATCGCCCCCTCCCTTCATTCTGGGTCATTAGGCATATGTTATAGTATAAGCTCTTCAGCCTATTGAATTTTTATCGTCTATATAGATATATGGGGAGTGATGTCATATAGTAATATTATAATGATACGACCTTTAAAAGACATGATAGAGTCATTTGTTTAACCCCAGTTTTTAAATATATACCTCTTTCATTCTAAATGACAATCACCAAAAAAACAAAGTTTGAGACCCTAGAAGGTGTTTTTTTAATCCAATTAACATAGGCCGTCCATTTTGATGACATGCTTAGATCTCGGCCTTGGAAGGATTTTTTCCCTGTCTAAATGTTTTAGATGGCTTTTTTTATTATTAGACGAATAATTTTAATAAAGAAAAAAATGATTTTTAGTTTTTAACGGTCTAGATCTTGAAGTTCACCAAATAGAGGGTCTATATTTATTGTTAGAGGGGGATTTTTTTTTACTCTATATAGGGTGCAAATTGAATTTCATTTTTTTGGGGATTGATTATTGAGATGAAAAGAGGGTGTGTACAGTTTTTGGTGTCATACAAATGCTGCAAAAACACACACACACACACACACACACACACATATATATATATATATATATATGGAAGATGCTGCGGTATGCCGATTCGTGTACCGCTACAGTAAACGCAGAATGGCCCAGATCGAATTTGGCCGATCTGACGATCACAGATGTCCGGTCGTGTTTTATTTTTCATTGTTTTTCTACAAATCGGAATGATACGAAAAATATCAAAAAATATTTTACATGAAATAAATTGACCAAAATACTCCCAAAACGTTTCAGGGGTATTTTGGTCTTTTTTTTTTTAATATTACGAGGTGCGCTTCACTAAGATGTACACGCACTCCAAATTTCAGATCATTTCAATTTGTAGAAAAAAAAATAAAATTCAAACACTCTCGAACAACCGTGGCCGTCAGATCGGCCCAGATTTGATCGGAGCTGTTGGGCCTTAACTATAGTGGTACACATATGGGCGTACAGGAAAATTTTCCTACATATATATATATAGAAAACTCTTCTCAATGCCTATAGGCGAAAATGAACAGTGATTTCGCCTACCCTCATCACCATCTAAACTTCATCGCATAGTCACAGTTGTGGTAGTATTTCAATTTCATTTTTTTTCTATAAATCCAAATTACTTGAAATTTGGAGCTTGTGTACATCTTAGTGATGCGCATGTAATAAAAATATAAAAAAAATAATTCGTAAAATATAAATGGACTAAAATACCCTCAAAAATTTATGGGGGTATTTTAGTCAATTTATATTTGACGAATCGGTTTTTTCATATTTTTAGTAGGTGTGCCTCACTAAGATGTACACACGCTCTTAATTTCAGATCATTCCGATTGGTAAAAAAAAGAAATTGAAACACTACCGAACAACTGTGATCATGCGATGAACTTTGGATGGTGATGATGGTAGGCGAAATCACTGTTCATTTTCGTCTATAGGCGTTTTGTAGTATCTTCCTATATATATATATGTGTGTGTGTGTGTGTGCACGTGTGGATTTCACTCTATACACTAGCTCACACACGGAATAGTGTATGCCCAACATTTGGTCAAATCGGATGGCATGTTGCATTGTTTGTATTTTTTTTACAAAGCTGTTTGACTTGAAAATTTGAGCCTCAACTGTTCTAAATGAGGCACACATAAAAAAAAAGAGAAATAGCTAGAAAAAATAAAATGACCAAATACCCATGAGATGTTAGGGTAATGTTGGTTAATTTATTTTTGGAATTGTTATTATTTGTATTTTTCTTAGGTGTTACTCTAGTGAGATACACACACCTTCAAATTTTCAAAACATTAGATGACATACGAACACACTCAAATATTATATGCTCCCTTGGAGCAAAAGAAGTACATTTCTTTCGCACATAAAACCCTATCTAGGATAAAATTTCAAGGCCAAAAATATCGGTATGTGACCTCGACCTAGTGATCCGCTAAAATAAAGAAACTTATTTATGTACTTGGAACTGCATTGGAGGGAATAATGCGCTGGAATTGCACACTAGCTGTCCAATTTATGGACAGTCATAGCTATGAATTTTTGTTACTCAAAATCTTCTCTTCCTTTTTTTTTTTCTTTTCTTTTATTGAAATACTCATAGGTTATCTTCTCAAAAAAAAAAAAACTCAAGGTTATTTCTGAAGTGTAACCAAAAATTTCAGATCAAGATGATCTTCCTAAGTAGCTCATTTACCTTGAGGGACTAAAAGAAAAATTTGCTTCTGTGGGTACATAGTACACACGTTTGTGTGTGTGATTAGTATTTTGGAAATGATGTGCATGTTAATGCATGCAGTTATTGGAGGGACTTCAGAGCACCCCAAGCATCCCAAAAGCTCCCACAACTGCTTCACATGACAGGGGTCATAAGAATCACAATCGACCTGCATCTTCATCTTTGAAAGGTATGTCGTTATTTACAGGCTTTATGTTTTAGAAAAGTGTACAGCAAGACCAATTATGTCTGGTATATGGAGATCTCCAGTGTTCAAAAAATTGACTCGGCCAAGTTACTCGGGCCCTGGCCTAGGCGATTTACTTGGGCGAGTCCAAGTAACTCGCTTGATTCCAGTGCATATTTTTTAAAGAAAATGAAGAAAAATACATAATATGTACATTTAGTGCGAAGTTTTTTAACATCAAATAGTCAATGGCGTGTTGGTTATGTCGTGGGACATTAGTGGCCTCCCTAACAGAAGTTGCGGTTCGATTCCTGATGGCCTGTGATTTTTTTAAAGCTTCTATGGAATAAAAAAAGTGACAAATTTTTACAAAAATGGGAAGGTCTTTTGGGATTCGGACCCTAACCATGTGAAATCTGCGAAATTTTACGCGTAAACAATAACCAGGGAGACTTCACGACTTATGTGACTTAAATGTGACGTATAAATATAAATGTAGTTTATAAAATTGTTGTACAACCAACTCGCCTTCAACTCGCCTCGCCAATAGAGCGGAGCCGAGTTACTCGGTCGAGTCCAAGTGGCCTCGGCCAAGTTTCAAAACCATGGAGGTTGCAATTACACTTTGTTGTTAGATTTGAAATGGAGCCTTTGGATTGTGCCATCGACTAAGCTTAAAGTTCAAAAGACAATTTCTTGAACTTTGTGACACACCCCAAGCTATCAGATTCGACATCTGACAGCTAAGGGTAAATGTTACAGTGTACCACAGGGAAATGATCTGAAAGCATACAATGACATGTTTTTGGCAAATCCTCTCCCTTGATACAACAATTTCCGCTTTGCATATTTTCAGTTCTGAACTTAGCATAGTTTTCTTGACAAATTTTGACCAAACATACCCCTCCCTAGTATTATAAATCATCTTCAGATAGGGGCATTCACTTTCCCTGAAGGAAATGACAGATTTATCAATGTGGCAATGGTTGATATTTAGTGCCTAAATATGTGCATTCACTTCTTACTTGTAAGAAAAAGATTTATATAAGGCCTTTTAGCTGCACTTCAAAACCTTGCTGGAAGCTGCACTTCAAAACCCTGCTGGAAAGCTCTCAAACTGATCATCTCCTCCTCGGCAATTAGTGATCTGAACAGCAAATGGATTTCGAGCCTTAAAGTTGTGGAGCTTATGTTTTCCAAATGGGTTTTTGAATTGCAGCGTTACTTTTTAACATAAAGCCTAGGCTTTATGCAGCCACACCCTATCTGCAATTGTCTCAGGGAAATCACGCTATAAAGGAATATTCTGCAAGTAGTTTTTCCCCTCATCAATGAGGCATTCCAGTGAAAAGGTGTAAAGTACACTTGGTTGATTTTGTGGCATAGTTAAAAACTAACTTTTACTCTGTTATATAACCAGGGACTGGCCATGGTTGACAAGAGGATGACGAGGGGTTCGATTCACCCTGTTGGGTCAGGTGTATTTTGGTAGGTTAGGCAAAATATGGATCCATTGACAGTCCCAGTTATACGTTTAGTGTACATATTGTAGTTGAAGAAGATCATGATGCCCTGCTCTCTCTCTCTCTCTCTCTCTCTCTCTCTCTCTCTCTCTCTCTAACACTTGTATTTTACAGGGCAGGTCCAACTCATAATTCCTCACGATTGTGAGTTTTTACAATTCCTTTGTATGATATGTGTCTGTGTTATAGCTTAGAAATCGACATGCTGTTGAACAGTTTTCCCTTATTGAATGGTTTGCACTGATCGCTTCTTGTCATGGCAACTATCAGGAATGATCTCTTTCTCTCCTCTCTCTCTCTCTGTGAGTACGTGACCCTCTGTGTGTGTACGAGTGCGCAGGCATTCGCACGAATGTGAACTGGATAATGGTCTTTTGTAAGTGGCAGTTTGCGGCATGGTCCATGCAGTATACAAACATTAATATGCTGTAGCACACTGTTGCTTTACTTGCGTGGAAAATGTTGTTGAGAATGGATTTATATGTGGTTTGTTTGTATGCAGCATATAGCCTTCAAATAAATATATGCGTTAATTGTATTGTGGATTATATATAATGGGCGCTGGTACTTTTCAAGTGGAAGGCTAACAATACAACAAGAAACTGGATGGTTGGATGGTGTCGGTCCTCTACGAGGGAGAGAGAGAGTGGGGAGGGGACTGTAAAGTATGCATTCTACTCATGTATTGGGAAATATATTGCAAGTTTATTTTCTTTGGTCATTTACGATAGGCACTAAATAAAATTTTCCTAAAGCATTGTACACAGTCAGCATGTATATGATTTTTTATGGCTAGCACGGTTTACTTTGAGGCTCCATTTGGATGTCTTGGTGGCCATACCTTAGCACTTTACCTGCATGTACGGATGAGCGAAACTACGTCTTCGATATCAAAGTTTGCCAGAAGTAGTAAAACATGTCTCTTTTGAGAAAATGTCATTCAAGGGGTTAAAATGCCTTAGTCAATTATTAAGAGATTAAAAGATTCTAATTAATATTATTTATTTTTTAATTTCATTTCAATAGTTAGTTGTTTTATGAAATCACCATCATCATTATCAGAGTTTTTTTTAAAAAATAATTTTTGGTTTGTCATTCTGTTTTATCGAGGGTCACACTCTTAATTTTTATAAAATTCCTTTTGAAAATGTCTAATTTGGGCGTTGTTCAGGGTGAACAAGGGCTCAGTATTTGATCCACCTTGAAGGAGCAGTGGTACGCTCACTATTTTCTTAGGCCCTCTTGAGTCATCCAAACTGTGCGTTGATTGTTACCAACTATCAAGTTAAAGACCTTTTTGTATCATTACAAATGCAGCTGTGGTTTTTGTTAAATTTGTCCTGGGTATAAGATCAGATCAGTCACTCTCTTTCTTCCTCGAGCCACTGTTTTCCCTGTTATGAAAAGCAAAAGATTCTTCCTGTTATTTGCAGTAAGAGGAAAGGAAAAGACGGGAGGCAAAGTTGGGTGACACCTCAGGGTTAAGAATAAAGCCTAATTTGATCTCATCTCTCTATAGTTCTACCTTTATAAAAAGAGGCTATTTGAGAGAGTAGAGAATAAAAGTTTTTGATCTTAATATCTAGGGGTGGCAATGGGTCCGGCAGCTTGGATCCGGACCCCAAAAAAATGACATGGGATCTGGACCTGAAATCACCGGACCTTGACCCAAATCCAAAAATATATTGTGGGACCCATAACCAGATTTGAAAAAATATTGTGGGACTTGGACCTAGTCCCGGTCTTAGATCCGGACCCAGACACGATCGGACTTGATCCAAAAATTAAAATATCTATGTATTTAACTATATTCAAATATATTTCATATATTGGGACTCAAAAAATTATTACTTGAATAGTGTTCATGTAAGATTTGGACTCAGGCGTGACCCGCCAGGTCCAACTTTTTGACCCCTGGACCCGGACTAGCCCTTGGGTCCCAGGTAGGGTCAGGGTCCATTGCTACCCCTGATATCTCTCTTTTTCTTCGAAGGAAAAGATTTATAAGACGATTTACGGCTAGTACTTACAAAGAAAAGAATAAGTTTAGTTTGGGTGATCTCTCTCTCCTAATGGAAGTTAACTAGGCGTGATCTCTCTACACTACTGCTACCCCGGCTGTAAACTGTAAATCGTACACTATCGTTGTTTATAAATGAGACAAATTGAATTTAAACTGGGTGGTGTTTCACAAAAAGGTTACAGTGTTCAGTGTTTAGTTCAAATTGCACTGGATTGAGGGAACGAGAACTTCGCAAGAGTTCGACAGGAGTTTGGGACTGTTTCAAACTGATTTCATTTGAAACTATGAACATTGATCAGAGATTACCCTGTTTCTGAGGAATAAAAGAATTCGATCGAGGTGAGCTCTCCTTCTAAAGGTCGGCATAAAATTTGAGAAGAAACATGGAGTCCGACCCTTCCTACGAATTTTCGCAGTGGTTAACTGAGTTCACTTAATCATGGCTGCGGTTTTGCAGACATTCATGCAACTTCGGCTTTGGTTCGGCAAAGACTTGATTCTCTCTATCAGAGGCAATGCAAGTTTCAATGGTTTTGCCTGCAGTTTTAGCCAACTCTTGTTTTCCGCCACAGTTACATAGTGTCGAGTGATCTTTCATTCCCTGTCGCCACGGTTATATACAGATTTTGCTAGCACATATGAAGTTTCAAGGGATCTCTTGTTTCTATATTAGAGAGAGAGAGAGAGAGCGGAGGTTGGGTGGGTGGTCTTTCTTTAATTATGCATGGAGAGAGAGATTATGCATGAAGGCTACATAAGGACATTCAAAAACTCATCATCATCTAAGTATTATCCCAACTATTTAGGGTTTATTCATTTACTTCTATTGAAATCATAACTGATTACTTCTATTAAAATCAACAACATTTGATAAATGATGTGCAAGGCCTTGAGGAGTTGATGGAATTACAGCGCTCAGAAAGTTTACCATCCTCTGTAAATGACCCCAAAAAAAAGAGGAATTTTCACAACAGATACACCTTTCTTAAAAGGGAATAAATAATGCATGGTATTCATTGACTTTAGCCTTTGAATCAGAATGACTTGGCGTATGGTTCTCTCTCTCTCTCACTCTCTTTGTCTCTTTCTGTGCGTGTAAAGGTAAACACGCCACCTTTCCATCTTCTTCGAGCAGTAGAGAAATGTAATGATTTTGGTGCGAAACTGGCAAAATAAATTGTTGTTCAACTTGTTGAGCTGGTTGATCTCGGATAAAATCAGTGTTTGAAAATTTGGTCGAGTCCACTCCTAGTAATGGCTAATATCCTGTTGAGTTTCCAGAGGCTTTTATCCTACTTGTGGTCATGGACTCTCCTTCCAAATGCTTTGACGTTTATCAAAAGTTTAACCACTTCTCCAAAGCAACCTATTCGAGTTTTAGTGACTGGTGCTACTGGCATGTAAATTAAGAGAGAGAGAGAGAGAGAGAGAGAGAGAGAGAGAGAGAGTATACGTAAGTGGTAGTAGTAGACGACTACGTAGAAGTCGTTAGTTAATTTAAATTAAAGTAGGTTAGTTACGACGAAGGAACTAAAGTTAGGTTAGTCGTCCCGTTCGTA